ATGAACGTGACCGTGCAGCTGCCATAGTGGTGACCCCAGCAGCCAACAAGCCGGAGCAGAGTCTTCCCAACTGACAGCAGCAGTTGGCGCGGTCTCCCCCGCAGACAGCTGGGGAGCGATCCCCAGCCAGTTCCAAAGCAGTGTTTAGAATTAACTGGCAAGTGTAAAAGGGTTTACACGGAGGATTTACGCAGCTGAGGTCATGAACAGGTTGTGGCAGGGTTTCAGGCAGCTCAGTTCAGAAAAATGCAGACACACGTCACAGGCCCTGCTGGACGTGTGCCCCAGTCCTTGGGAAAACGACAAAGACCAATTCGCTCAGGTATTCTCCCAGGCTCAGCTTAAGCTGACACGCAGTCTAGTTCCTGAACAGCCGAGGGAGCCCCGAGGGGTCCCCGAATCCTAGTATTCCCTGGAAACCTCACTGCTGCCACGGACACCCTGCCACGGAGCACGGAACCCGGCCCGTGGCAAAAGGAACCAACAGAACTGGAGGCAGTTCTGGGACCAGGGAGGAGAGAATCAAGAAACTGAAGGTGTTACTGGCGATTGGCGAGCAGCCGGAGGGGAACCAGAACACTGGTGGGTGCATGGCAAAAATCTCCACACCTCAGAATGGAGGGGAAGGGAGAAAAATGAAAGCCTAGCAAGGCCAATACATGCTTTTACGCGTACTGTATGATTCTACGCAAAACAAACTGTACGATACAGGTAATTACAACAGGTTGACTGGGCAGTAAGAGGGGGAGGTGTTGACCAGGTTTTCCCATAGGCTCACAATCAAAAGAGGAAGAGAGAGATTTTTTGGTGAGTTTCATTGCTCTCCAAACCCTTCTGGGCACAGCTGACCCCTCGGCACACCAGGGCCGAGAACAGGGTCAGACCGATGAGGCGCTCTCTCGGGGTGATGCGCCAGGTTCGCCCCCTTGACACCTCAACTCACCACAGCCTAGTCCCATCCCCATAGCACACACACCACACACTTTGATAAGGAACACTCACATCCTTTCTCAAAGTGCAAACAGAGTAAAGGTGGCTGATGTTCGTTCAAGGCCTACCCTTTCATTATAGGGAAAAAATGAACCAGCCACACTTCATCCAAAAGCTTCACACAGGTGTCCTTCAATTTCTGATGAAGAACCTGTTGACCACCTTGCTCCCAGAGGTAGACAGGGCCAGCTGAACCCGGCTGAGAGCTTCTGCTTTTGCATGACGCCAGTACATGTCATACTTATTATCCTGCTACAGAAATGCACTATTTTTTTAAACGGGGTGGTACAGAGGCTGAGAATGTCCTCTACACATTTCAGGAAGAGAAAAAAGCCTCCAAAATCCCAGAATATGTTGGAGCTGGAACAATCAAGGATTTAAAAAAAAAAAGAAGTCAAATTTAATAGACCATTTAAATTCCTGGCTGATGGTAATTAGAGAGCAAACAGTATTTCTTCAAACCTTGCGAGACAGAACTTAATCCAATTTAGGTAATCACTAACCTCTGCTTTCTTTCCTCTCTCTCACTTTTGCTCACACACTCTCTCTCCCCCTCTCCTCTAAATAGAATGCAAGAACTGATCTACAAAGGCCAAAAACTGGCAAAGCATGAGAAAAGAGTGTTTAAAGAGAGTGATTAGACACATGTGACCTCAAAGGGCCAAGTCCAGTGAAAATGAAAACAGGCCTCATGGGCGCCCTAATTTCTATCGACTCCAAAGCTGAGGATTCTAACTGGCATCTCCACAGCAGAAGGCGTGAGGTCAAGGTACTCTCAGCTCTTCTGCCCTTGGCACCTCGTCTGGCACACCGGACCAGTCGCCAGGTCCTGCTCTGGAATGTGACAGCCATCCCCTGCCAGATCACACTACCTACAGCCCCTCTCTCCATCTTCCATGGAATAACTACCGCCAGAATTATCCGGACTGTCCCTTCAGTGCCTCCATTGCCCGCCCACCTCCCAGGTCCAGTCCCCTCCTTTCAGAGCTGCCGTACTGCTCTGGCATCAACTTCCCATCTGGAAACTGACAGGTGCACTGAGTAGGATGTTCTTGAGTACTTTGACCCTGGGTTCTTCATGAAAGGCCTTCAAGGTTAGAGATGAAAATGTACTGGAAAGAACAAGGAGCTTACACGTTAATGGCTGTGTTACGTCAGGAAAGTAAAGAGCCTCCTGAGGCCTCCATTTTCACATCGTAAAGGAAAGAATCTTAAAGGAAAGACTATCTAACCATTCAGGTTCTTGGAAGGCTCAGATAACGTTACCATGGTTGTACCTGGCTCTCAGTACTTGCCCAATACGTAAGTTGGCTCTTTGAACTGTTCAGGTTTCAAAGAAAACCTTAGGTCCCCAAGCCCTTAACAAAAATGTGAACTAACTGAAGTTCACCTCTAATGAGCCAGCATCACTTTGCATCCTCTATGCTCCCATCTTTTCTCTTGGCTCCAAGTGGGATCTTGCCTTATAAAGAGGGTAACATCCTCGATGTTGCCAAATTCTTAACCCCGTCTCCCATAAAAACACTCACAAAACATTTGATTTGCGAATTCCAGCAAACTGAGATATGAATTCACACTAACGTGTTAACAAATGATAGCTTCTCTAAGCATTGTTTTTAACAAGCATTTGCATTCTGCATATACAGAGGCAACTCTAGGGAACAAACTTTTAATGATGGATTAAATACAGTAGGGAATGTTCAGAGGGGCTCAAACTCTATTCCTCAACTCAATTCTCCACTGACCTAGCTCTGCAAAAAAACATTGAAAGGGAAAAAGTTTGCCATTCTGGAATTTTGATGTATTTTACCTCATACGAAGGCAGTGCAAAAGGAATGGCCACAGGGAAATAGGTACATGCGTACCACAAAACCTTAGTCTGGAGAAATCATTAAGAAATCCACAAAGTCCTTACTAAATTCAATTTTCTTTAGATAAATGGTTTAAATATTGCATATACATCATCAATGAACAAAAAAGATTATGATTTAGTTAGGGATGACCAGCATGAAATTTTCACATAGCGGTTTAAAAGGGTTCTAAAGACAGGATTAGAGTTTTTCCCTCCAATAATTGAGTCACTATTATGTGACAAAGGAAGGGGGAAGGAAGGAAGGAAGGAAGGAAGGAAGGAAGGAAGGAAGGAAGGAAGGAAGGAAGGAAGGAAGGAAGAGAAAGAGAGGGAGAGAGAGAGAAAGGAAGATCATTTATCTCTAATGCCTCTCTTTTTTACACTGCTAATGGTTCTGGCTATTAGGAGCATCAGTAAAATACTGAAAGGACGCTGTCGGAAAAACCTAAGGCAACTTTGTGAATTGACCAGGCACTGTTTCTCTTATCTGCCACATTCCGTGCTCTGCACAGCACCCGAGGTCAGATTCTACAGCCGAATCTTGAACGGAGAAGACAGGCCAGCCAGGTTCCACGGAGGAGTGCGGCACCATTCTCCGTCGCACTAGGCACCTCACACCACAAGCTAAATTTAAAACGTGGCTAAATTAGTTTCTGCAAGCTGCATTTCCCCTCCTGGCTCACATGCTGCTGCATGTTATCAACAGAGCCTCCCACCCTAGAACAACAATTTAGCAGAGCGCAGCCCTGTGACATTTTGCTGCATTTAGGCCAGCGAAATGTCGAGTCTGCAATGCAGGGTGGTCAGGATCACCGAAAAGAGGTCAAAAAGGACAGTCTCCAAAGCCTGATTAGCAGGCACCCTTTCGTGGGGGTGGAGGGCAGAAGATGTGGAGTATCTGTACCCTTAACTTTCGTGATGGCTTTGGTCCTTTGCATGGGTCATTGGAATTTGCATGTCTGGTCTGGTCCAGAACTGTGCCTCGGCTAGACCAGACCAGAGCTTTTTCCGTGCTGGCCTTCTGAGCAGACACGCGGCTAAGGGGCCGCGCGTGAGCCGTCGGGTCTTATAGGGCTTATGGCATAATTGAAACCTTGCGTACCGCAGGATTGCAGTGGCATCTATAAATACTCGCTGCCTCACTGCTGACGAACAAAACGCGGGGTTCCTGGCACCGCGGGGGTAGAGACGGCTGCATGTGACCGAGGGCAGGGGCCGGGTAAAACAAGGGAAAACCCTACTGCCAAGCAGGGAGGCACCCAGAGCCGACTTCTGAAGCACTATTTCCAAGCACACAACCGGTTCAGCCCCCGGAGCGGCCGCCCCTCGGAGGAAGGCTGGGAAGGGAAGATCTGCAGGCGCCTGGGCGGAGGGCTCCAGAGCGCCCCCTGTGCGCAGTGAGCACGCTGCGCGCACACAGTAGGCGCACGGGGGAAAGCCTGGCCGCATGGAGGGCGGGCGGGAAAGACGAAGTGAAAGGAGATGCCGCAGGAGCCGAGAGCCGCCCTCCCCAGCCCAGTCTCCCGCGTGCGGCGCCCCGGCCCGAGTCGGCGCGCGTCCAGCCGCGCGCGGGACAAAGCTGCCGCCTTCCCTGCACTGGCCTTCCACACCTCCCTCCGGAAAAAAAAAAGGGGACAGCAGGAAAAGATGGGCTGTTTTGGGGCCGTCCCGCAGGCCGATGGAGAATGAGAGACAAACAAGCAAACTTTCTTTTTCCGATCACTTGACTCAGCGTGGGTCCCACGATCGGTGGCATCCCCCATCCCACCCACAATGGTGCCTCGCCCACAGCGAGTGCGGACAAGGGGCTCGCCTTTCCCCTCCCCACTAGGGGCTCTCGAGTCCAGTCCTCTGCGCCTGCCCGCAGCGTCCAATCCGAAGATACTCCACCTCGTGAGGGTCTCTAGCCAGTGGCCCCGAATGCGACGCCCTGTTTCCCTGAGCCCCTCCGGATTGCACCCGGCGTGCTCGGCGATTCTTTTCTCAATCCTGTGCCACTGCCAAGCCAAACACTCTGCCCCTTCTGGAGACTTCCCCAGTCACCCCTTGGGTCCCGGGAGTGAGTCACTTGGAGTCGTGCACACCCGCAGCTCACCTCCTCCCCAGACTCCGCGAGCCTCGGAAAAAGTTTCCGGTCTTCCCGAGAAAGTTGTCTCACCCGAGAGAAAGGAGCGACTTCGATGGCGCTCCCCGCCACGCTCGTCCAGCTCACCCACCTCGCTCCTCTCTAGCTCTGCCCTCCGCAGGGTCCCATCCAGCCTCCAGCGCTCTCCCGTGCGAGTCAACAAACCCGGCGGCCGCGGAGCTCCCAGAGCCCAGAGGGTGACACGTTTCCCTCCTCACTCAGCTCTCGGCCTCCTCCTCCTCCCTCCACCCCCGCCTCCGCCTCCTCCTCCCACTTTTCCTGTCCCGGGTTCATCGCTCCGGTTTCTCTCCAAGGGCTCCCACGGCCCTCCATCCCACTGCTCCCCAGCTCCACTCGCGCCCTGCTAGGGAGGGGGCGAAGGGGAAAGGGGGCGCTAGCACCGACATCCAGTTCAACAATTTCAGGAAATCCAACTCTTTAACTTGAAAAGCCGGGGAGGATGCAACAGGTCAAGGGGGCTCGGTCCTGCGTTTCCCTCACACAAGACAAGATCCCCCACGCCCCCACGATGGCATCTTCCCCCCAGGCCCCCGCGACAGGAAACACTACCAAGAAGCCCCAGGGAGATGCTGAGAACGGGAGAACTGCAGCCTGGCATTTTCGTGGTTTTGAGGGATGGACCCCAGGCCCATCCCAGAATTTGTTCTAAGTGCATTTGTGAAACTACAAATTCACTGAAGTCTCTCCCTTAGATCTGCAAGCCTCTTTCTAAAGCTCCCAAGTTCTCCACGAAAGGTTTCATAAATTGGGCAGTCCTTCAGAGTTTGAAAGAACGGAAAACCAACCAATCCCAAAATTAAAAACAATGTAAAATTATTTTCAGATCTTTTTTTTTTTTTTTGCAGGTGTTAAGAATTTGATGCAGCTGTTTTCAGGACTCGCTGGCTTGCGTAATTTCACCCTATGGTTGAGCAGGAAATACTTTAAAAATGCTGCCCGCGTACACATCACACTTAGGCTTTGAAACCACAGTGACATTTGCTGAAGAAAAGATGTGTCTTTTTTAAGTCAAAACAGAGAAGAAAATCGTGTTTATTTTGAGCACGGTGACCTTACAAAGCCTATGTAAGGGTCGTTGGTCAGGGTGGGCCCAAAGGGGAGGGAGAACTGATGAAGCTCTGGGTGCCCCACTTGCCCAGTGACATTAGTGAAACCTCCAGTTTTCTCAGTACAAACCCCAGGATGAAGGGGAGACTTTAAATCTTATCCCAGGAATTGTGTAAGATGAAAGAACTTGCCCCCAGGCACGTGCTGGGGAAAGAAAAGCTTCAGGAGGCGTCGATCTGGGAGGGGAGTTGAGCTAGGTCTTCTGGGCAACTGAGGGCGTAAGAGCCAAAGCCAGGAGTCAGAAGGTCAAGGTTTGTGTACCACCTCCTCTTACTAGCTGCAGGAATGGAACCAAGTTACTTAATTTTGCTATGCTTCCGTTTGCAATCACGAAAGTGAGGACAACGTGGTAACTATCTTCTAGAGTTGTTATGAGGATTTAAGGAATTCCTACAGAGAAAGTGCTTAGAATCTCTGCTGGGATTCAACAGATAGTAAGCTATTATTACTATAATTATACCACAGGTCTGGGAGGACGTATATTTGATGTATATAGTTGGGTTGTCATTGTTGGGTCAACGTTTTTAAAAATAATGCTCACACGTAAAAAAACAGAAAACTTCCCAATTCTGATGAAAAACACAGATTTTTCAGCTCGCCTGGGAAAACCTGCCGTACATTGTGCCACAGGCCTGCACAGCCACAGTCAACCAGAGCTGAAGCACTTCTCTCCCCTTTAGACAGGGGCTCAGTTTCCAGTTTGCCACGAGCCGGGGGCACTCCCTCCTCTCTCCTTCCCAGCCTGCTCACCCATCTCCTCCCACCCTGATGCAGCTACAGAAGGGAGGCTGGTGCGTATCAGGAAGGGCCAGAGGTATGAATAAGCAGAAATTATGCTCTAAGATGGCAGGGCTTCATACCATTTCTCTCCCCAGCTCCATGGCAACAAGGTTTTTTAACCAAGATTTGCTCGGACTCACATAATTTGAACAGTACTGAAGTAAAAGAAAATGTGGGGGGAAAGTGGAGGCCAGTGGGCATGGAGACGGGAAGCAGAAAGCCCCCCTGGGGGCTGCCTTGGCATCACAACCACCATCCAGTTTCCTGCTCTTCCGAGGCCTGTTCTTCCATGTCTCCTTTGTCCCCATAACAATGCCTTTCCACCCCATCCCCCTTTGCACATTTCTATCCCCCCAACTCTTAGCAGACTGGGTTCAGGGAAGGGTTAGGTGCTTGTCCAAAGTTACCCACAGACAAGAAAGACAGGGCAGGGATCCCTGATCTCCCTGTTGGTCTCATTTACTACTTCCATCTCTGAATAATAGTGAAATTCACCTCTGTTTTACAGAATCATAGCATGATTAATGCCTTAGGATCTGATCTACAATAGATAGGAAATAAACATCCGGTGAATTAAGGTGTTCAAGGTTTGATCTCCAGTCTGGACCTCCTTTCATGGTACTTCGAGGTCTCGCACCATGTCAGAAAATTATTCCAGTGAGGAAAACATCACACCCTTCCATAAGTTATCTCCTCTATGTAGATGGAAACATGGAGACCCTGAAAAGAGCCTTTGCTGATGCCTGGTACAGAGTCTGTGAGGGGGACGGCAGGTGCCCCAGGCCTGTGCAGACTTAAAGCACACAACTTTTCAGGTTTTCAGAGTTCCAGTCATAAACTAAGTTAATGTAGTTACTCATGAGAAATACTAATCTAAATATAGAACTTGCATAAGCACTCAATAGGTATCAACAGTATTTCACTGCCCATAAAAACAGGACCATTTGAGAAATCAACTCAGCATCTGATCTAACACCAGCGTGTAAAATCAGTGACCTTTGGTACAGCAGGAAAACCTAATCCACAAATGAAAATTGAGTTACCTTCCTTTTGCTCTCCTTTTAACTTCCACAGTAGAAACACTGAGAACCTTGAAGTTGGGTTTTTGGAAGAATTTTGGAGGATATGAACAAAACATAGTTTTCATCCTTTTCTTAATAACAATGGGGTATTTCTGGTATGTTGGTTTTTACCCTCCTTTTTGTCTTTGGCTTTGGGAAGTATCTGTCATCCATTCTAATGAGGCTTCTATTCACTTTAATCTGATTGTATTTTTAGAATGACTTGAATGAGCAAAGCTTAAATGCGAAAAGAACCCTGGATGGCGTTACTCAGTGGATTGAGTGCTGGCCTGAGAACCAAAGGGTTACCTGTTTGATTCCCAGTCAGGGCACAAGCCTGGGTTTTAGGCCAGGTCCCCAGCAGAGGGTACGTGAGAGGCAACCACACATTAATGGTTCTCTCCCTCTCTTTCTTCCTCCCCCTTTCTCTAAAAATAAATTAATTAAAAAAATTTTTAGTGTGAAAAGAACTTTAGCAACCTTACACAAATTTGCCCCAGATTATCCAAATTTCAATTGTTCCTTCCCACAATTCTAAATCCGTGAGTTGGTTGCCAAGTACTGACTGGTCACTTATTAGTATCAAGTGGTACTGGGAGTGCCACAGTGAACAAGGAACACAAAGTCTCGAACGTCAACAGGCAGAAGGCAAACAATAAATATGGAAACCAACTCATAAAGGACGTCATTTGAAGTACCATTCTGTGCCGTGACCAGGACAAAGTAGAATTCTGGAGTGACCAGGGGGAAGAAGAAAAGGACTTTATTTAAAGTCATCAGGACAGTCTCTCAGAGAAGATAGCTTTGGAGCTGAGATTTAAATAAAAGAAGAGTGGCATTCCTTTGGGACAAAAGTGCATTCCAAACAGGATAAATGACCAGTACAGAGGCCTGGAGTGAAGAAAAATTGGGGGAACTTCTGGCTAAGATGAAGGCATAGGTAGACACACTGTGCCTCCTCACACAACCAAAAAAAGGACAATGACAAATTTAAAAACAAAAACAACCACAACTGACAGAAAATCAAACTGTATGGAAGTCCAACAATCACGGAGTTAAAGAAGAAACACTCACCCGTGAGGGGCAGAGATGGGCAGCTGGGGTGGAGAGGACTCCCGGCAAGGTGGCGGCTAGAGGACCAGGGCAGGTGAGGCTGAGGCTGTCAGTCCAGGCGGCCCCACATCTGCGTGTAGATAAATTGGGAGGAATGACTGGGGAGCAAGAAATAACAATGCAACCCAGGGTTCCAGCACGGGGAAATCAAACCTCAAACTACTGATTGGAAACACCTGTGGGGGTTGAGGTGCCAGGAGGAGAAACTGCAAGCCTCACAGGAGAGTTCGTTAGAGAGATCCACAGGGTCCTAGAACATACACAAGCCCACCCACACAGGAATTAGCACCAGAAAGGCCCAATTTGCTTGTAGGTAGTGGGACAAGTGACTGAAAACCAGCAGAGAGCTGAGCTAGTGGCACTATTCCCTCTTGGACCCCTACCCCACACACAGCACAACAACCCAGTGGTGTAGGTTGCCTCAACCTGGAAAATACCTAAAGCTCTGCCCCTTATACATAACAGGCATGTCCAGACCAAAAAAAAATGGTCCAAATGAAAGAAAAGATCAAAGCACCAGAAAAAATACAACTAAGTGATGAAGAGATAGCCAACCTATCAGATGCACAGTTCAAAACACTGGTGATCAGCATGCTCACAGAATTGGTTGAATTTGGTCGCAAATTAGATGAAAAAGTGAAAGCTATGAAAAGTGAAAAAAGAAAAATGTGCAGGGAATCAACAGTGAAGGGAAGAAAACCGGGACTCAAATCAATAGTTTGGACCCAAAGGAAGAAATAAACATCCAGCCAGAACAAAATGAAGAAACAAGAATTCAAAAAAATGGGGAGAGGCTTAGGAACTACTACCAGGACAACTTTAAATATTCCAACATCCGAATCATGGGGTTGCCAGAAGGAGAAGAGGAAGAGCAAGAATTGAAAATTTATTTGAAAAAATAATGAAGGAGAACTTCCCTAGTCTGGAAAATAAAATAGACTTCCAGAAAGTCCAGGAAGCTCAGAGAATCCAAAAAAAGTTGGGCCCAAGGAAGCACACACCAAGGCACATCATAATTTTATTAGCCAAGATTAAAGATAAGCAGAGAATCTTAAAAGTAGCAAGAAGAAAGGAGACAGTTACCTACAAAGGAGTGAGTATAAGGCTCTGAGCTGATTTCTCAAAAGAAACCTTACAGGCA